TTGCAATTATCTCAACGCAGACAAATCCTATAATGTTAAGTTGTCTTTTCAAAAGATGCGCTATCAAATACTCTAGAAGAATAGTCATTAAAAATTCCATTGATTCACTTTAATGATTTTCTTTCAAAGCTAAAGCTACAGCATTATATGATGGTCAAATATCCCATTATTTTGAGAGAAATGAAAATGAAAATAACATTTCTTATTTTTCATATATATGTCACCATATACAAGTCAAAAACACAGTGAATCATTTTGTTTTGATTATGCATCGTGGAATTCTCTAACACTTATGCATGACAGAGTCCTTTTTATTAAAATGATGAATTTTTGGCATGACAGAACATGAAGATCTTCGTGAAATTGTTATTATTCATTATAACAGTGGAGAAAAAAGCTTCAGAAGTCTCAAATACCATACCTGATGATTCATTGGCGACTAATTCATCAGACGTAAACTTATTTGATTACTCTCCATGAGTTCATGTCATTAAGAAAATTCATTATCAAAAGAATAAAACACCGGAAGATTGGAAGAAAGAAAAATACATGTAACATGTATAACAATTGGTACCTTCTTGCTTCATGGATCCTTTTTTCTGAACAATATCAGAATTTGACTAAAGAAATCTTGTTTAGAAGAGAGAAATAAACAAAAACAATGATGCTATTATGAAGCCATCGACCTAATTCAAATATTGTCACTTCTAATATAAACTTATATATGGTTATTGATGAATTGAAATAAGATTATACTTTCAACATGACCGAACTTCCAGGAAATAAAAAATTTATTTATCGAAATCAACGAATTCTTGATTTATGAAAAAGACTCTTTGCTCTTAGATGGATGTGTCAATAGAATGAGTATGACAACTGATAAAAACCAAATAATAGTTTGTAGCCAATATCTAATGAACTATTGAATAATGTTCTCATTTCTGTTATGGCAATCATTTTCTCTAATATAATATGATTTTTTTCGTCTAAATTATTGTTGCATTAATTGTCGATGAAAAGAGAAAATTGATTAACTTTATTTAATTTGTCGATAAACCAGGACTGAACCCAAAAGAATATACCTGAGTTGTGTTTACATAGTTACAGGCTCTTTTCTTCGAAAAGTTCGTGTTGTTAAAGAACATGATGGCGATTATATTTTCCATAAACATTTGTGATTTATTTGTCAAGAAAACAAGATTTCTTTTTATATTATTTTTGGTTCTATTTCTTTCAAACTAACGAAATATTTGGCCATCATACAGTGTTTCAGTTTTAGCTTTATAAGAAAATCATTAGAACAATTCAATGAGATTTTTTATTGACATACTTCTAGAGAATTTGACTCTGCATCTTTTAACGAAAAAAAATTTCGCATTATAGGATTTTTCTGTGTTGAGATATTTTCAAAATACTCGATGTTGCAAACACTTTCCCTCATCTGATATTATGTATTTTAATGTACTCGGCTAACGCGATGATCCATGTTTGATATCAAACTACTTATTCGACAAAAGCTTGTATGCATTCTATCGATCATTTTCAAACTTATCAAAATGAAAAATAGTAACGCTTTGCTCACGAATTTGATAGAGAGAAATTATCTCTATAATCTATTTTTAATTAAATATTTTGGCTTTAATCTGTTGTATCCGAAAATAAATTGATTTTCGGACACTTCATGGGTTATGACAGCGTTTGATATTGTCAACGGTATGTTCTCACAATAAGATTCTGTTGTCTTGTATTCAATTTAATGCAAAAAACAAAATTAAGACTTCTCATCAACATTCATGATTACTCGAAGATTAAACTCTTTGTATTGGACACTTTGCGAATGTTTCATCAATACTCAGGTCGATGATTCCTGACGGCGGATCCTGCAAGAAACGGCGAATTTTTCCGTAATTTCCTGCTATTTCGTTCCCGGAACCTACCGAAACCGGTCGGAAATATACGTGGAAGATGGTAGCAGTATTTCGGCCGGAACGCACCCGTACCCGGAACCATTCTTTTCCAAAACTTTCCTGTCACCGGAAACTCCGAGTAAATTCCGTGTGTCCTGCTGGAAACTCGTTCAAACAACCCCGTATTCCAGAGGAAATGCCCGGAAAATGTCCGTATCCCTTACACAAGAAACAAGGACTGAAGGATCTATTATGAATTTCTTAGCATTTTTGCGACCACTCCGCTTCTCTGAGATTTCAATGCATTAAGCAGAACTCCATTTGCATGATGGATTTTCCTAGGATTTTTCAAGGATTTTTTAGACTATTTTCATTCATAGGATTTAAAATCCGTATAAAAGCAGTGTTCCGAATAGGAATTCGGAGTAAAGTGCAATGTTGCACTTTGTTTTAGCAATCAGAGTGCACTAGGGCACTGTATTTCAAGAATCAAGGTGCAGCAAAGTGAAGATGCAACAAAGTATCTAGAAGAAAGAAATAGTAGTTTATGTTTTGCATTCTAGACTGTCGATGCAAAAAAATTTGGCGAGAAATTGGATTTAAATCGATCATTGCTTGATTAAAAATCGATTAAAATGCCATGATTTTAATCCAATTTTTCGCCAAATCTTTTTTAATGGGTTATATATTAAAATAAAGTAACAATGAAAAACAAGAATGTAAATTATCATTAAATCACAAGATCAAACTTGTCGATTAGAGAAGGAATGGAAAGATCATTCCCCTTCCTAAAATTGAAAATCTGTAAAGCTTTCTGCGAAATTTTCTAAGCCTTTCTACCACGTTTTTAAATTTCTTTAGTAATTTCTGGAAGAAATTCAGTTTTTTAAGTACTACTCACGATTTTTATGGTAGAACATCGAAGAAAAACACTTTTTATTAATAAATTCTCGCAGAAAGTCAACGAATGCATGATTTATTGGTCGGTAGGACAGATGTGGCACTTTCTGTCAAAGTTGTAGCCTCTTTCACCTTTCAAAACAATCGACAATCCTGCACAAGATTTACAAACAAAATATGTACAATAGAGAAGCTAAGGCCAAAAAAAGATAAGTCACCTGCCCACGCAGAGAAAAATTTGGAAAAACGCGTTTAAACGCTTAAAATGGAATCGTGATTATAAGCTATTAGCTCTCGTTATAAAAACGCAGAAAACGCGTTTTTTGCGTAAAATTTTCATTTTCAGAGCATGAAAATGGTGGAAAACTCTGATTTTTAAGCGTTAAAACCGATTGTTTTTTAATTTTAGAGTAAAAGCGCGTTTTAATGCTCAAAAACTCGAGTTTTTCGCCGTTTTCACGCTCTGAAAGTGAAAAATTATGCTAAAAAAAGACGTTTCTTGCTTTTTTTTAATGAACTTAAATATCTCACAATCGCGGTACCATTTTGAGCGTTTTCCCAAATTTTTATCTGCTTGGATAGTGGTTACTGCTCATTTGAGGGAGAAAACGAGCATAACCAACTCACCTATCATCGTTTTCCATCTCTTCTACTTCTACACTATGTCCATCAACGCAATCATCGTAAAACCATTGTGTTGAGTTTGTAGATACTTCTAATTGGATTCGTTATTTATTGCAAAGCCACCCAGAACAATTATCATCTATCCAACTGTAAAATTGTTGCATCAGATTATGAAATAACAATAAAACCAAGCAAATAACATGATAAATAAAAAGTTGAACTGTAAAGAGTAAACAGTCAATGAAAAATAATAAAAAAGCAAGGTTTAAAAAGTTGTAACAGATTGCAGCGTGTGCATTCTAATTTTTCGAGCAGAGTGCATAACAAAGTACAAATCAGAAATGATGAGTGACTGATGCACTTTGCTTCTGCTTGGTGCACTCATCATTCGGAACACTGCATGGTAATAGTATAATGACACTTGGATGAAACTATAAGACAGCTCTTATAAGAAGGCAAGGAAATTCTAGAAATCGACATGAGATGATGATAGGAAATATTTATTGATTTAAGACGCTATGCATATGTAGAGATTAGATAAGTCGAAAACATATTTTAAAATTAAGAATCAACTTCTAATCGTCAAGTATTCAATAAAAACAATCAACTACCACCATATAAAATTTCTCAATTTAAATATTCTCCAATGCATATACGTCTGTTACATAGTGTTTTCGATTCAATCGAAACAGATGTTCGTTCATGGAAATCGTATGTCTTAAAAAAAATTCTAAAATAAAATTTTGGTTGTTTTTTGCTTTCTAGTGAATCAACTAAATCAATAACTGATTTTATTAATCATTCATATCATCAAATATTCTATGCTAATGTTGCACATATTATATCTCAAATATCTGAAGTTTTATGTAGTCCATGTGGTGATCTTTTACCATTATTTGCTAGTGCAATATCGGCATCAGTAAAATTAATTTTTATAATTTCTATAAATTTTATTCTTTGCATATGTTTTTTGCAGCATGAAATTGAAATATTAGAAAATACAGAAAGTTTATCACCATTCAATACAATTAAAATCTTGAAACATGTTATGAGTTGAGCAGGTTTATTTATTCTTGCATATAGTTCAAATTTTTCTGAACTTGAACAAGAAAAAAATATGCCAAATGGAGGAATTTTAAGACAATATGTTTTCGTCTAAGTAATAAAATTTTTTTAGAAAATTTTTCTTTTAAATATGTTTTGTTTTTTCGTAGCAATGACAATAGCAGTTTCTCATTGTATAGAATATCGTTTTCAACGATTTGATCGATCATTAATATCAAAAACTTCTGAATCAACATCACAAACAAAACCTTCAAAGAAAAGATCCAAAGGATTCAATAATTGAATTCACTTGTTTATTAAATTCACCACCATAAGAAAATAATCTTGATGAAAACAATAAAAATTTACTTGCAACATTTATTGGTAATCCTGAATCAGTTTTACAAGATATCGATATTGAAAATTGATGTGCTATTGTCTATCATGATGTGGTAAGACAAAATCGAAATAAAACTGGCAAAAATATTGTCATTATCGTGGTAAATTTAAGCAATATATTTTTTTTCTTTCTTTCGTTTGCTTTATGTATGTTGTGTTGCATTAACTGTTATATCTTATTTAATAAAATTAAATATATATAAAGAGGGTGGGTGACCGAAACAATTCGTCGCATATAAACGAGAGAATACAGTAATTGAATTAAGTGATTTAGTTTAGTATGTTATTTAATTAATGACATAAATGTATACTCTACTATGGAATTATTAGATCTACATGGATAGACGAGACACTTCGAAGGAACAAATAATTTAGTTGTAAAAAAAATGCTTACAAAATCCTTCCGTTAAAGTACAAACAGTCAGTCTGCTATTAAATGAGACTAAATTTCTTTCAGGAGATGACTTCTGAAGAAATCTTTAGTTAAGAAAAAATGAAGGCAAAAATTGGAGTGTATGACTCATTCAATATTTTTGGCGACTATTTTCTGTGATTTGCAAAGCTGCTCGATCAGTAGATGAAATGGCTTTGAAAATTTTCGAAATGGCTTTTAGTTTTTCCATGCAGCGAGCATTAAATAAAAATAATCATATTACATTTTATAAAACTAGAGTGTTCATAGGATATCATTATTTATAGGTAACACATTTAGATCTAAAAAATATTAAATCAAGAAGTAAATTTTTGAAAACATAAATTTAAAAAAAAAAGTAAATTTTTCAAATGAAAAGTTAAACTTAAATTAAGTTTATTGAATTTGAAGTGCGGAAATTTTAGGAAAAGCTGATTCAAATTATAATTTGTTCAGAAATTTTCATATTTACAAGCATATGCTGAACTTAAATACCGAATTTTCCTCTTACTTCTCATGTATTACTGCTCAAGTCATATATTTTCCAAATACCGATGACTAAATCGGATTAAAACAAATTATTAGACTCAAAAACAAATTTTTAAATTTAGATTAAAAAAAAAAATTGTAAATTGACACCCCTATCATTTTTTGTGAAAAAAAAGTATTATCAAGAAAGAGTCATTAGACTCTAATGGAAAACATTTTTTTAGGGGTGATTAATTAAATAACATACTAAACTAAATCACTTAATTCAATCAATGTATTCTCTCGTTTATATGCGACCAATTGTACTAGTCCCCAATTCAGTATTTCAGTTGGTTTAGATGTTTCAACTTAAATTTCGATTACGTCAGCATTACTTCGATTATTAAAAGAAACAGTTTGTTTGTAAAATGATATTTTATATCTTTTTTTTTCTTGAGTTATCAATCCATGATGATAGTACAGCTCGATCTCTTTCATCTGTTGACGAAGGTGGTTTCCGAATGTATATCCATTTGTTGGAAAAATATATTGTGAATTAGAAATGCAGTTTTTAAGAGATTCATTCATTTAATTCATTACTATGAAATGATATTAAAATTCCACGCTCTATAAATGAATATAATTACATAGATAATTCTAATAAATCAATTGATAACAAAATACTCAATGAATAAAAACAATGAGAATGAACACAAGCTGTAAGAATGTCGGTGTACGAGTGTAAATTGGTGTATAAGTGGGGATGTTGTTGAAAGTCTTCTCTTTACTCGCACTCTGATACACTTAATTTCAGCTTCAATGGATGTGATTGTATTAAACGGCCTAAGAAAGTTTGTTATACTGTGAAATATAGCGATATTCTTTTGTTCATCAGACTGATTTTAATTCTCAACAGCATGTTATCTGATTTGAAACTATATATGTGTATCAGTCTTCTTGAGAATTCATGAGCTCTTTTCAACTCAATATCCCCAGAACATGGATAAATGATTACTTTCTTGGCGATATTTTTTCAAGTCAGTTTCACAAACAAAATTCATGTAGGTTCTTCATCTCGTTTCCCGAACTGCAACAGAAGTCATTCAACATGATATATTTGGATTGACACTGAAAGACAAACGAAAAAGTTTTCGTAGATCTAAATGATATGCTTGTTTGAAATGATCGTTTTGTCTATCTGCAATAATCTTAATAGATGACATCGCTATTCGTCATTGGTGCGACTTGATTATTCATGGGTGGTTTTCGACAGTTCTTTGACATCTCTCGAACATATTTCCAGCACTTTTTCACCAGAACACATTTTGTTTGACGACGAAACCGCGCTGATGATATCAGATAAACATAGAATGTGCCCTACAAATTAATAAACATGAATGAGATCAAAGGAATCACGATAACTAGTAGAGTGACATACCGAAATATTGAGATAGCTAATGGCGACGGCAAGGGCTAAGATGAGAACCTCAATTGCACTTCGAAGTGTTTGATTATTATGACTCTGCATATTGAAAACGTAAAAACATAATGCAGTGTAAGGTAAAAGACAAACAACAAAAAGTATCATTCTAGCAAGAATCATAGCTGTCAACTGTTGATCAAGTCGTCGTCGAGTATTACTCATTTGTTGTCGACGAATACGTCGAACATTACGATAAGCCATTATACTGAATGTAGATGCTAGAAGGATCGGTAAAATTCCTTGCAGAATAGGTAAATGAAAAAATGAATAATATCGAACTAAATTAATGTTCGTGAGAAGGCAACCAAATGTGACTTTGATATCATAAAACATGGTAAATGGAATCATGTAGAAAAACGAGGTTAGAATCGCCATAGCAGTCAGATATTTGGCTAATTTAATAGTACTTAATTGTCGCATGAGAGGATTACAATTCGTAGAAAAATATTGATCGATCACTGCAAAATTAACCAAAGACAGGAACACCAATGTACACCATTGAACAATTGGAAATCTTAACTTACACCATAAAAGTCTTATTCGATCTGAGTCCAAGTTAAATATTTCCTCACTAGCTCGTAAGGCTGAGCCAACGATTGAAAAGCTGAGATCAAATATAGATTCAACAATAATATAGTATGCACCAGGACATTTTCGAAACATCTTTAGACTGATAAAAATGACTATATTGCAAATATTACCAACAAGTCCAGCTATAAAAATAATCGAAAACGCGTATATGATATAATGATGAACGACATTTAAGATGGCTTGTGCTGTTGTCGATGACATTGCGAGAAGTTGTAGAAATGCAACAAGTCGTTAGTAATATCTGTTTTATTTATTTTGATGATTCTACCTACTAATGTCGAAAGAAAAACGTAGAAAGTGGAAATATCGGACAACGAAAATATGAAACTGCGAAAAAGTCAAAATTTTTAATTTTTAAAATAAAATTATGAAAACATATATTCTCATAACCGTTCAAATGTTGGAAATTACTGGAATGCAATGCAGAAATTAGTACACTTAGGTTGTCGTTGTGTGTCTGAGTCGTCTCTGTGTCAAAACATTCGCGTCCATACTGTAGAATGGCTTTTTTGGTATTTCAAACAAATCCATATAGACTGTGCAAAGACAACGGCAATGTCGAGCGCTACTAACTCAATTCAAAGAGGTGTATCTGTATTTTTTCATGATATCTACTGATCAGAGAGGGTACTGCAATGATTAATAGCTTTTAAGCCCTTATTTTGCCAACTGGTAGGGGACTTATAGATTAGAAGTGGTTCAAAAAGATGTGCGAATGCTAAGATTCGATCAAGATATTCATTTTTGGTTAATTTTGTCTGTATGAACCAATTTTTTGATAAAATCCGATTGTCAACTTTTGGCTGGAATATTTTGCCCAAAAGATGATCTCAGACAGACTGGCTTATGTATAGCATATTTTGGAAGATGTATATCTTAGAGACACTCGATCAAAAACTTCTGAAATTTAGTTCATAAGCTAGTCTCGTTGAGATCTTTATCTAGGCAAAGATTTTGAGCCAAAATAGAACTATCAGATTTTATCGAAAAATTGGGTGCAGACAGAGAAAATTCATTAAAAAGTCAATATCTTAGTCAAATCTTAACGTCAGCACGAACCATTTGAAACTGATTCTAATCTATTGGTTTCCTACTAGTGAGTAAAAAATGCTTTTAAAAGTTTTTAATCATACAGGGACCTTCCATGTCAACTGCATTGTGACAATCTAAGTTCATCAATTAGATAGATCGAACACAAAAGAAAGAGAAATAGACGTTTTTGCCACACATGTATTTGATATCTATCTGCATTGCTCGTAAATTATGTTCGAAGGAAATTAAAGAAGCTATGTAGATTCAAGTACATTATTCCTTGAATAAATGCTATACATATTAGGATATTTATTTAAAACAGAGTAACTTACCGTCCTTGGCATTCTATACAAAAAAATCAATGATGAAAAAATATGAGTCGAGTACTATGAAGGCGATAAAAACACAAACTTTTTCATTCTTTTTAAATCTAATCTCTTTGAATGAATATCTGATAAAAATAATATTCTAACTATGGATCATTAGATTTTTCTGTTAAAAATTAGAAGATGCAACGTATGTCGAATCACTAGATACAAAAAAAAAATATAATTGAGTTATTATCCTTACATGATCTTATCTAGAGCTTTTCAAACTTGGTCAAGAAATCTTTTTCATTAGGCTAACTTTATACTAATTCATCTGCACTTGTATTTTTTTTTGTTACGCAAATATTTCTCTATTTCGTAATATTAAAATATATTCTGCGATATAATACTCATAAAATTCATCTCTATAACAGACCTATTCAATCAATATATTTCTAAGTCTGATAGTGCAAAATGTTTGTATCAATGATAATAGATTTCAATTCATCAAACGACATTTTCACTCAGAATACGAATGTGAATATTTATTTAGCTTGCCTGTAAAAAAAGAACTTGTTTTCCATTAACAAAACGTATTTAAAAACTGCATTCTAGTGTGTTGGTGAAAAACTCAGTTTTTTTCAGTAAAAGAACTCCAAAAAACGTGTTTCAGATAAAACCCAATACGCTGAAACATGTTACAAATAAATACTGACGTATTTGAAGGAGTTGCAATAAAAAGCAATCTGTTTAAAGGCAACACTAGCGTTTTCCTACTGAATGTTCGTGTTGGAACACTATTCTGTGCACACTTTGTTTTTATGACTACAACTTCCACGAGGTGTAGCGAAGAAACGAATTGCTACTTTACGACAAGGAACAAAGACCTACACAAGAAACTTCTTCATATGTTGAAGTAAGTAAGATAGGAAACGATTGATAATTGCAGAATAAAGCAGTCTTCTGATGTTTATATAACTAGGTTACTGCGATGAAAAATTAATCTCACATTGGTTCCGATTAGTTCTTCTAAGAGGAATCAAATTTGAAACTTTTATTCTGCACAACAATTATTTTTCTAATTTATTCGAGTGAATGTAACGTTCACAAGTGCTTTCATGATAATGAAGAAACACAAAAAAGAAAGAAAAGATAAAAAGGAATGAAGAGGTATGACAGAAGCAACATCATTAATGCAAATCGCTTTACAATTTGCTACCAATCCGATGATGACTAGAATTAGCTCATGCTTGTAAGAATATCAAGAGAATAAATAAAAACAATAACACCACTATCGCGGAAAATGAGTAAGAAAAAAAAAGAAAGTCTATTGGCATGTCGCTTTATTTTGAGAGAAAAAAAATGAAACCAACATTTATTACTTTGAATATATTTTACCATCAAAAAATCAAAAAGATATTAAATTATTCCTTTTTTGATCATGTGTCGTGGAATTCTCTGATATTTTTGCATGAAAGGGTTCTTTGCATTATGCTGATGAATTTTTTAAACGTCAAAAGATGAAGACCTTCGTGATATATTTGTTGTTTATCATAACAGTGGGAAAATTCTATAGAAATCTGGAGTATCATATTTGAAGATCCGTTGGCGTCTGATTCATCAGACTAAACTCATTAGACTAGACTGCATTAATTCATGTCAGTAAGAAAATTCATTATCAAAAAGACTAAAACACGAGAAGATTAGAAGAAAGAAAAATAAATGCAACATGCCATACAATTGGTATCCTCTCGTTTTATCGGCATCATTTCTTTTCCTATTCATCGAAACTTTTTTCCTGAATACTATCAGAATTTAACTAAAGAAATTTTGTTTGGGAGAGTGAAATAAACAAAACAATGATGAGATTACGGAGCTATCGACCTAAGTCAAATATTGTCACTTCCAAGCTAAACGTATATGCGGTTATTGATGAATTAAAAAAAAAAGATTATTCCTTCATCATGGCTACGATCGGATAAGTTGAAAACAACATGAACAAGTCTCCAAGAAAGAAAAAAATTGTTTATCGATATCAACGAATTCTTGATTTATCAAAAACAAAAATTCTTTACCATTAGACGAATGTTTCAATAAAATGAGTAAAACAATTGATAAAAAACTGAAATAATATTTTATAGCCGAAGTCTTATGAACCATTAAATTATGTTCCCATTTCTGTTATTGCAATCATTTTCTTTAATATAATATGACGTTTTTCGTCAAATTATCGTTGAATAAAGTGTTGATGAAGAAGGAAGACTGATTAATTGTTCTTAATTTATTGATAAACCGGGACTACGTCCATAACAATTTACCTCAGTTATGTGCACCAATTGATAAATCCTTCCCTGTAAAAAATTTCCTGCAGTTAAATAACATAATGGGGATTATATTTTCCATCAGCATTATGATTTCTATATTATCGCACTTCCTAACTCTTCATTTAGATGTTCAAATAACCATAGATAAAAGAAAAAACCATTAATTTTTATATAATAATACTAACTGCTGAAGTTTGTTGAAAAATCGCCGAGTTTATTTTGAAGTATCACGATTAATCCCCAAGAGTAAAGCGATTTTGATAACATTGGAATACAGAATAAATATACTTGATCTTTCAGATGGTGCTCATTTCTTATCATTTATCTTTTTTCTTAATGTTAAAAGTTTTCAATTGTGAATAGACAGAAACAGCAATAATATTATGTTTTGTTAAATTTGATCTAGTGGCGTAATCAAAATTTTGATGGTGGAGGGAATTTATATGACGGGCTCTTTGTTGAGGCTTAGATTGCTACGTTTTGTGGGTGTGGCTATGGCACAAGTGTATATCTATACCTTTCAATAAAAGTCTTCGCTGCATTGAATAAAATAATGACAAACAATCATGTAGATTACATGATTTTCATGAAAAATTTTCAACAGAAAAATAATGATGGAAATGCATTTCTGTTGATGAAACGAACATTTGTGTTTAGTTATTTTAAAACATTGATGATTTTCAAAATTTTCATTTCCTTAACATAATTAAAGTTGCGTCAATGTCGTGCTATCAAAAAACAACATGTGGCAAAGAGTTAAACAATTTTAACACAAGATTCGTCTGCGAAATCAACTAACATTGTTTTATTAGAGCTTTTCTGAAAATCGAAGTTGAGCTCTTGCGATAAGATCGACGATAAACTTCAGAAAAATCACTTTACTTTATCGACCCGTCAGCTAGCATATGTCTTCAGTGTTAAAATTAATGGCACAAAAAGAGAGAGACAATGACATCCTGTCTGTTCTTATACATTGCATTTTGAGAAAAAAAATGATTTGTGTAACGATTCATACGTGAGTGAAGTTTAACTTGATAATTTTCATCATTTACTATCAAAGTCTTGCAATGAAAATAAACCAAAACTGATGAAAATTCCCAAATTAATGATTGAAATGGAATTTTTTCGATTTTTTTTTATTCTTTGGATTTCACCTACAATTATACCGACAGCAGTATGTATTTTCTATCATCACGTTCGTGTGTGCACATACGCAATCTCTTGTTGCTACAAAACAATAAAAACGAAAAAATCTCTCTTAAACTTTACCTTCTTGTGAACTAAAATAGCGTAACATCTTGTTGAGGACAACAAAAAAACGTTAACTACGTTATGAACTCTATTACGAGCTCCACGCCATCTAGAGGCCTCATTATATGTTGGTAAATTTTAATAGTGCTGTTTTTGTTTTAAATTTCTTATAAACAAAAAGTGATCTGCACCTGTATGTTACCGATGTGATGTTATTCAACAAATTTGGAAGTACTGGACCAAATCTATCCATTCGACTCCGTAGTGTTATGACTACACGACAATC